CTCTCTCTCTCTCTCTCTCTCTCTCTCTCTCTCTCTCTCTCTCTCTCTCTAAAAGAAAAAAAAAGAGACCAGGGTACCAGAAAAATTATAGAAAATCAAAAAGCAACGCATAGCATCAAAGCAGGGAGGATAGTTTCAAGGATATCATCTATATTTCACAGCATGAAATCAGAACTGTGGGCCACTTTTAAGGGAAAAGAAAGGGTAATGGTCTGGAAGCAATGAGGAGCAATATGTACCTCCTATCCAAATAATGCAAGGATTAAGTGGATGAGAAAAGAACTGCAGACTGCACAGGAAGCTGTGTGAACAGTCATGTTGGGAGCTAGAAGAGAGTAATGATCAAAGAAGAGGTTAAGAAATGGGAATTTCACTAGAGACTAATTTCTTTTTGTCAGATTAGGAGACTGGAAGTTGGGGAAGGATAAGGTGATGGATGAAGAAAGCCATATAAGGTTGGTCTGAAGAATGAGTGATGTCACCAGAGTCCAGAACTAATTATGATGGTCTTAAGAGAGGTAGTGAAGGAGGAAAAGGTAGGATTCTTGCCAAGAATAAGTATTGTCTTCACTCCTACCAAAAGGATGGATAGGCCAGGGCAGGGGTATTCTTACCTGGAATGTTTAAATCTCTGAAAGCGCAAACCTCAGTGCCTTTGCATACACTGTGGAATGCACATCCCCATTCTTCTTTACCTTTCTAATTTTTGTGCTTTCAAACTCAGCTCAGGTATCAGTTCCTCTAGAAAAACTGTCCCCAGTTTCATTAATCTGTTAGGTGCTCCTCTTCAGGGTGTATTCAGCCATGCCTTTACACTATTAATTGCTTTTTATTTTTCTATCTCTCAATTTGTACTGTGAGCAATTTAATGTTTTTTTTTTACTTGTTTGTCTATATACCTTCATAAGGGTATATTTTTGTCTGTTCTGTTCATTGCTATGTCCCTGATTTATAGAACAGAGTTTAGCACACAGTAGGGAATGCATGTTTAATGAATGGATGGATGGTAGTAGGATGGTTTTCCAATGCTAGGCACCAGCCTTGGACCATAGTAAGCCCTCAAAATTACACATTAAAATTATTAATGATTTTTCACTGAAAAGCAGAGTGACTGTTACTAATTGAAGAGACACAAGAAAAGAATAATCCTTGCTCCAAGGAATTTACAGTCTAATGGAAAAATTCCAGCTCGTATGGACTTTATCAAGGGGAAAAAACAAAACATAAATACAGTTGCCTAGAACTGTCACAATGTTTATTTTATTTATCGTTGTGGCACTAGTACAGTTCAGGTCAGGCATGCCTCATTTTATTGTGTTTGCTTTATTGAGCTTTGCAGATATTGTGGGTTGTTTTTTTTTAACAAATTGAAGATTTGTGGCAACCCTAAACAGAGCAAGTCTCTCAGCACCCTTTTTCCAGCTTCATATGGTCACTTCTGTGTCTTTATGTCAACATGTTGATAATTAAATTATTAATTTATCTATTATGAAGATCTCTCATCACCACTTGACTGTTTTGGGGTGCCACTATTATAATTGTTTGGGGGTACCTCAAATCACTCCAATATAAGACGGCAAACTTAATCCATAAATGTTGCTTGTGTTCTGACTGCTCCACCAACTGACCACCTCTGTCTCTCTCCCTCCTCAACTCTTCCTAGTCCCCAAGACCCAACAACATTGAAACTGAACCAATCAATGGCCCTACAATGACCTCTGGTGCTCAAGTGAAAGGAAGATTCTCATATCTCTTTAAATCAAAAGTTAGAAATGATTAAGCTCAGTGAGGAAGCATGTTGAAAATTAAGGACAAAAGCTAGACCTCTTGCACCAAACAGTCCAGTTCTGAACGCAAAGAAATGATTGTTGAAGGAAACGGAAAGATTTACTCCAGTGAACACAGGGATAATAAGAAAGAAAAAAAGTCTTACTGCTGAAATGGACAAAGGTTTAATGTCTGGATAGAAGTTCAAACCCGCCATGACAGTCCCTTAAGCCAAAGCCTATTCCAGAGAACTAACTCTCTTCAATTCTAGGCTGAGCGAATTGAGGAAGCTGCATAAGCAAAGTCTGGAGCTAGCAGAGGTTGGTTGGTGGGGTTTTAGGAAAGAAGCCTTCTCCATAACTTAAAAGTGCAAGCTGAAGCAAGCTAGCCAGAAGACCTATCTAAGGTCACTGATGAAGGTGGCCACCCTCACACCTTATTTTCTGTGTAGACAAGACAGCCTTATCTGGAAAGAAGATGCCATACTACTTCATAGCTAAAGAGGAGAAGTCACTGCCTTGCTTCAAAGCTTTAAAGGAAGGCTAGGGTTGTGGCTCGGTGGAGAGCGCTTGCCTAGCACTGGGTCTGATTCTGAGAGAAAAAAAAAATTTGGAGAGTTTGAAAGTTGATTCCAACCCACAGGGATGACTTTGAGAAGGTTCAAGACTTGAATAGAGGAAGTAACTACTATGGTGGAAATAACAAGAGAACTAAAATTAGAAATGTAGCCTCAAGACTGAATTGTACAATCTTCTGATCAAATCAACAGATGAAGAGTTGTTTCTCATGGAAAACCAAAGAAAATGGTTTCTTGAGATTTTTTTTAAGTATTATGAAAACAGTTGATACAGCAGCAGCACTGATTGAGAGGACTGGTGCCAATTTTGAAAGATGATCTACTGTGAGAAAAGTGCTATCAAACATGCTACTGAGAAATGTTTTGTGAAAATATGTGTCAACCTACATTGTTGTTTTAAGAAATTGTCACAGTCACTCTAATCTGTAGCAGCTATTACCCTAATCAGTCAGTAGCCATCAACCTCAAGACAAGAACATCCACCAGCAAAAAGGATTAAGACTTGCTGAAAATTCAGATGTTCCTTAGCACATTTTAGCAATTAAGTATTTTAAAATTAAGATGTACATTTTTGGACATAATGCTATTGCACATTTAAACTATAGGACAGTAAAAATGTAACTTTTATATACACTAAAAATTGTTTGACATGCTTTATTGTGATATTTGCTTTACTGCAGCAATTTGAAAGGATATGCACAATGTGTTTGAAGTATGCCTGTACATAGAAAATGGAAGGTGACCAGTAGGTGTTTGTTGAAAGACAACAATGAAATATTCAAGGAAGTCCAACTAGTCATAGACATGAAGAGAGGTGTATTTAAAACTATTCCTCAATCTATCCTTCCTCACTTCAACCTCCCATTTCTACACATACAATTTGACTCAACTTTTCTGTTTGCACCATTTGTTACACATCTCTGTCCCAGGCACTGCTAGCCTTTCAACAAGTCTGTATCATGCCATTCCTCTGCTCAAAAAATTTTAAATGACTCCCATCACCTATAAAAAGAATGTTCAACTTTTCGGGTTCAGATAACCACAGGGGTTGGGGTTGGTTAACATGCGGATTTCTAGGCCCATCCAACAGAGATCTTAATCCAGTTTATCTGAGGTCAGTCTCAGGAATGTGCATTTTAAGAAGCACTCACAAATAACTGATGCAGTTGGCCCATGGATCACATTTAGAGAAACATGAAGTTATTGTATAAAATCTGACAAAAAAGGCCTTTAATGAACTTTTTTTTTTTTTAAATCTCTACTTCTCCTGCCTCATTTTCCTGCCATTCTCTATTTCTGAGCTCTTTTGTTTGGACACTATCAGCTTTCCCTTTCTCCATACCACACTCCATGCCTCTGTGCCTTTGTACAAAAATCCATCCCAAATTGTCTGCTTAACACGCCTTATCATTAAGAAGCTGCTTAAGTCTACCTTCTCTGGTTTCCTCAGCTCACCTGGAAGTGCTTCTTACCTATAGTACAAAAGCACTTTGCATCCTTGTGGATGCCTGTATCATCTTTACAGTTTTGTTTGCATGTCTGCCTAGATAGTGCAAATCAAAATTCTGCGTGTATTCTCTACACTATTCATTTCTGAAAGGCGAAGATTATCCTCAATCTTTTCAGTACTCAGCATCTCGATTGCTATATAGAAGGGTTTCCAACTTTTGGTCAGTTGACTTATCCTGGATCATAAAGCTGGTAAACTACACAATTAAAATCTGAACAAAGATCTCCAAATTCCAGGTGTAAAGGTCTCTCCAGGTCACTGTTCTGCCTTTTTGGATAGCAGCCACTTCCATAGCTTTGTGCCTCAACGTTAGCATAACTTTGTTATTTCATATTTTAAAGAGGATATATAGGTCTTATATCCTCCTTCAGAGCATAAACGTTTCCAGAGCAGCAAGCTCGCTTTGACCAATTTTTGCATTTCCCACAATGTTAAGCAGTATGTTAAGTAGTAGCTGACCTTCAGTTTAAAAAAAAAAAAAAAAAAAAAAAGAGGAGGGATGTGAAAGCTGGGAGAGGTATGTCAGTCATCTCCTTAATCAGCGGTGGAGGGACCCTCCCCCCTTCAAGGTGAACTGTAAGGCTTGAACATGTTAAAATGTTAAATGAATGACAGAGTTAATTATATGACAAGACTAGGCAGGGAAAACCTCAAGTGGATGCAACTCCCGACCTCTTTTTTCTTTTACTTAGCCTCCACCTCCGTTTTTTAAGATCTTACTACTGCAATTGCAGCCGCGCTCCTGATCCTCCACAGCTCTCCTCTAGGCTGACGTCATAATGCGAACCACAAACTACAAACCCCAGAATGCCGAGCGAAGGGGCGGGCTCTCCTGGAGCCGCAGAGTGATTGGTGGGAGAGGCGTTTCCTTCCGACAGAAAGGCCCGGGAGGCGGGGACTCGGCGAGGCTCCGGGCGTAGTTACCGGGTTGGGCGGGGTACATCTGGGAGGGGTTTGTGGGTGAGCTCTGGGTCCCCCGCCCGCTGCGGAGATGGATGAAGATGGGCTTCCACTCATGGGGTCAGGCATAGACCTGACCAAGGTTTGTAAAAGACGCAGTTGAACTTCCGGCCATCGGCGGGGGAGGTTGGGGAAGGGACGCCCGGGTCCAGGGAGAGGCCACCTCTACAGGCCCCACCCTGACCCTGTCTTCTGCTGACCTAAGAAGAGAATCTCAAAGCTCAGCCTGAAAGGGGGTCCTTCCTGAACCAATTAAGAGGATAACGCACCTCTCCCGCCTTCTCATTCGGTGTCAAGTGTCCCTCTGCCCAAGGTTGATCCCCTGGAGACAGACCTGTTGTGACCTCTGATTCTTATGTTTTTTTGTTCCGGCGGGCCCTCCAGTTTGTGTGTGTGTGTCTGTTCCAACAAACATTCGAATCTAGAGGCCCTTCTAAAACTTTTCTGCAGAGCCTCTGTCGTTTTCTGACATTCCACCCATGGCTTTGGAAAAAAAGTTAACGATTATTCTCACTCCTCCAAGAAATCCATATCACACAGCAAAATGCCCCGTTATGGTGCCCAAATACCCCAAACATTGCAAGGTGTACATTTGTGTGAATCATGTTTGTTTTTACAAAACACAGGTGCCAGCTATTCAACAGAAAAGAACGGTGGCATTTCTAAATCAGTTTGTGGTGCATACTGTACAATTCCTCAACCGTTTTTCTACAGTTTGTGAGGAGGTAGGTATTGTGATACTGATTTCTCAAATAGCCTAGAAATCACCTTAGAATTTTTAGGTTGAAAAATGGAGTAAAACAAGAATCCTAGTCTTTATGTATTCACATGGCTCATGTCAATCCATGGTGGTGTTTACACTCCTTAGCTTCTCTATGACTCTTTACCATCCAATTCTGCTCCCTACCTCTGCTGAATGAGAGTATTCTAGAGGCCTTTGTGAGTTAACTCAAGTTTCTTGTGATTAAAGAGAATAAAAGAAAATCCAAAATTTCACAGTTAAAACATTTTTTAATTTTGAATTTTGTTTTTCATTCTCCTCCCCAAATTGACATTTTAAAATACTAATTTAAAATATTCATAGTTTGTATTAAAATTATCTTACATTTGTTGACATAAAAGTTGGCTAGGGTGAGATAGCCTAGAAACACAATGTTGACATCAAATATCATTATGGAAATAAAAATACCTTCTGCAAATGACTTGTGAAGTAGTGTTAAATACCAAGTTAAGGAAGTACTAGATCCAGGGACTCTCCCTGTCTTATAAAATAGTCAAAAAAAGAGAATGGGGAGGAAAATGAAAAACATAGTTGAAATTGAATTTAAGAAAAAGAATCATGGGACTTTTAGACAATTCACAGGTGAGCCATTGGAACATTCTGTCTTATATAAGGTAAAGCCTTAGCAATTAGTTTTTGTTAGGTGTGTTAGTATAACTAAAAATTGCATGGAGACAGCAAGACCATTTTTACTTGCATAGAATTCCAGCTGTTATTTTTGTCGATTTATCAAAATTTCCTCTGCATTTTCACCAAGACAAAAATGAGATAGGATAATTGATAGCCTGCAGCCATATGTTTTTAGGAGTTGCATAGTTTCTTGACCTTACCTGTTTTTAGGAGTTGCATAGTTTCTGCTCTAGTTCCTAGGTCTTTGATCCATTTTGAGTTGACTTTTGTGCAAGGAAAGAGGTAAAGGTCTAGTCTCATTCTTCTGCATATGGTTAACCAGTTTTCCCAATACCATTTTTTTAAATGGCTGTCTTTTCTCCAGTGTATGTTTTTGACACTTTTGTCAAGGATCAAGTGACTTGTAGATGTGTGGGTTTCTATGTCTTCTGTTCTGTTCCATTGATCTGTTTTCATGCCAGTACCGTGCTTTGTTGCTATAGCTCTGGAGTATAATTTGAAGTTAGGTATTACAATGCTTTTAGCATTGCTTTTTTGGCTTAGAATTGCTTTGGCCATTCTGGGTCTTCTATTCTTCCAAATGCATTTTAGGACTGTTTTGTCTATTCACTCTTTAACCTCTTATTGTTCCTCCCTCAACTTCCCCACACTATTTTAGCTGTGTCACTATTTTTTAGTATTTCCTTGAACTCAAGAGAAAAGTTTGTTGAACAAACAAGTGTAAGGGTAGTCTGTGGCCTTTTATCCTTTATTTTAATTGACAATATAAATTGAATATTTCTATGATATATAACATGATGTTTTCATATTTTTAATGTGTTGTGGAATGGCTACATCAAGCTATTTAATAAATGAACTTCGTCCCATACTACTAAATTTTTTTGTGATAAGAACACTTATAAGCTATTTTCTTAGCAATTTTCAAGGATACAATGTAATGTTATTACTTGCAGTCATCACCTATAGTAGATCTGTTGAACTTATTACTTCTGTTTAACTAGAATTTTGTATGCTTTGATCAACTTCTTCCCAGTCTTCCTACCTCAGTTCCCTCAGCCTTGGGTAATCACCATTTTAATGTCTGAGTTCAACTTTTTTTTAGTCTTCCACATACAAATGAGATCATGTGATATATGCCTTTTTGTGCCTGACTTATTATTTTTTAACATAATATCCTCTAGATTCATCTATCTTATAATAAATGAAAGTATTTCCTTTTTAAAGTCTGAATAGCATTCCATTATATATGAATATTACGTTTTCTTTATTCATCTGTTAATGCATACTTAGGTTGATTCTGTAACTTGGCTATTGTGAATAATGCTGCAATGAACATTGTAAGTGCAGATATCTCTTCTATATACTAATTTTACATTCTTTGAATATACACCCAGTAGTGGAATGGCTGGGTCATATGAAGCACTGTTTTTAAGAAATCCATATTGTTTTCCAAAAAATTTACTAACTTATATTCCTACCAACAGTGTGCAAGAATTCCTTTTTCCGGTATTCTTTGGGTACTGGCCAAGACTCTGGAACTATGGAGGCTTGCATAATGCCATGTTTACTGAGGTTGACCCTGTGTGTAGTCAAAAAATAAAAAGAAATGTAAGCAAAGTCTAATGCTTACTTTTCTCTCCTCCTTCTAATTGGAGAATATTCCTCTCCATGCTGTACTTCTACAGCTGGGCAGAAGGTAAAGATGGTGATGCGAAAACTGTTCTTCTTACCTTCTGTGTGTCTTTTTACACTCAGGTACTATACTCTTATCTGACTTCCCTATCTTATAAATGTATGTTCATATGGGAATAGTTTATCAAATCGATGTTTCTGCAGGTGGATGAGTGCTTCAAAGTCCCATTCCACTATCTTGTTAGTCTCTAACCTTATTCTTCTTTATGTATGATAATCTGAGGTTGATTATAACTCATTCTTTACAATTCACATTTTAGCAGCTTGAATATTTATGTCAATTGTAGATGGTGAGATAATAATATTTATCACATGCTTACTCTGTGCTAGGAATTTTAGTAAGTGCTTTACCTGTGTTGTATGGCCCTTTGAGAGCAATTTAGTCATACCTCTTTTACAGATATGGAAACTAAGATGTAAAGAGTTTTAAATCGTTTGCTTAAGTCATTTATCATTCAGCAAATATTCAAGTACCTTACATTTGTACCTGCACCAAGGGCTCTAATTTGCCACAGATAGAAAATAGCAGAACTGGATTTTCAACATATCTTCTAACTGGAAAAGTCAGAAATGCCTCATTCTTGTCTTGGGTTGCACTTTCTGATCTGAATAACAATCATGTTTGTATCATTTTTATTTCATAATCATAATTTCATAATTTTTATAGCTATTTCAAAATCTATTTTTCAGATTCATATTTTTGCTATACCATGTCCATTTGGTTTGATGTCTTTTTTGATGTGATAAATTCTAAAGATATATATATATATATATATTCAAATGTAAAGTGCCATTCTTTGAAGTTAAAGTCAGTGTGATGTTTTGAAATAATTTTTAATTTATTCATAGCACCCATTAGGCATGTAGTCTGTTTTTGTTAAAATTTTAAGACCCCAAATGACTTTTTCCCTCAAAAACAACAATAAAAATGAACTTCAGTTGATATGTCTTAAACTGGAAGTGAATTAGATGAAAAAAGAAATTTTTTTTTTCTCCCACATGATCTGATTTTAATTAAACCCAAACTATAACAACTTCAATGATAGCTAAACTCAAACTGGAATGAAATTTGAAACAAATTTCTAGGACTCTTTTTTCATCATTTATACTGGTTTTAGAGTTCTCTAATAAAGAGAAGAATACAAAACTATAACTGTGAAGAACACAACTTTTTGAAAACTTTTTGCATACTAGGATATTCTGTAACTCTTCTGAATGATGAGATTAGAGGACAAGGAAAGGAAAGTATTTGAATTAGATCCAAATTTCAGAGTTCCTTAGGGTTATCTCTTCTTCCTTCACAAATCCTCACTAAGCTTTTCTGTTCTTGACCTGGTCAGAGAAATCCTAATGGTGGGCCATTGGTACAAATTCCATCCTATTGCAGGTAAACCTGAGACAATCTTACAGTGAGTTTTAAAGTCAAAGATACTTCATAAACAGGAGATTCAGAACTGCTATTTTGACTCAGACTTATTATGCTTAGAATATTGGATTTTAAATCATTTTTTAATATTTAAAAAATTTATTTTTTCTAAAATCTTTAAATACAGGAAAAAGTGCTGAGTATTCTCACATTATCTTAAAAAAAATTTACAGTGCTTATCTTATGTCCAATTTTTAACCTCCTTAGACTTAACTTGCAACCAGATAATGTTTTGTATAGAATCTCATTTGCTGCTACCTATGTTATAACTACTTGATTTAAGTTTCAGATGGAGCTTAATAAAAGCCATTTATTGTTTCCCTTTCTGGCTTCTAGGTTGTTATATACAACCCAATGGGATATATCAAAAGACTTATTGTTTTAAAATACTGTTTCTCTTTTAGAGAATTGGATATAAAAGCTGGATATTTCATAATCAAAAACAAAAGTCAATGTTTTAGGGCTAGGGCTGAGGCTCAGTAGTAGATCGCTTGCCTAGCATGCGGGAGGCACTGGGTTCGATCCTCAACACTACATAAAAATAAACAAATAAAATAAAGGTATTCTGCCCATCTACAATTACAAAAAATAAAAATAAAAAAGTCAATGTTTCATTTTTGTTTCCATATTCATCTAGTTGCTCCATACTTCTTCCTCATGTCTTCTTTTTTCCCTTTAATAAATGTGCTACCTTAGAAATATGCAAGTAATAAATCAAGACATTTTCAGCATATCTGACAAATTTCAGGTGCCTTGTAAATTCCTGTTATCCCAAACCAAGGCATTTCAAGTTTGTTTCAAATCCTCATAAAAATTAGATAATGGTTAAATAGATGGGAAAGACTGTTACTTTTTCATTTTTCTTGCTAAAACTTTCAGAAGTGGAGATACGTATTGTCCCTGATCATGTTACTTACATTTTATGCATAGTCATCCTTACTTCAGGGTAGTGGCTCTCAATCAGGGACCATTTGGGATTGTCTGGATATTTTTGATTATCATAACGGAAAAGTGCTAGTGGCATTTAGTGAATAAGAGACCAGAGATTCTACTACACATCCTATAGTGCATGGGAGGAATCCTCCACAACAAAAAAATATCCATCCCAATATGTCAATAGAACCAAAGTTTGAGAAACCTGCTTTAAAGTGGTCTGTGGCTTTAGAAGGGAAATGCAGAAGGCACAAACATTAATGAAACAGCTACCCATTAATGAAGCCAGTTATATTTTCACAAGTGACAGCAACTCTAAAAGGTACATATTTATGTAGCAATAATCACACTGGAATTGACTCAAAATCATGTGCTAAATTCTCTGGAAAGCAGAGATTTTTAATTGTGCCATGGACTCTTTGACAATCTATTGAAGCCAAATCAATGTTTTTAAATAGATAAAATGTGAAGGATTACAAAAGAAACCAATTATATATGTTGAAAACACAATATAGTAGTAGGCTCTTTATCAAAGCATTAAATTATATAATCACCATGTCTGATAATCTTAATTTCAAAATATAAATTTGCAAATATTGTAATAAAAATTTGTGATTTCTCTGATGACAGAGTTGTAGGTCCTACTACTATGACTTTTTTTTCAAACTAAAAGGAAAATGACAAATTTAAGTTAAAGGTAGATTAAAAACAGAAATAGAACTCTTTTTCTCATCCAGCTTCAAAACAACTTTGTTTAATGACTCTCAAAGTCATATCAACAAAAGAATTTTTTTCCATTGGGTAGATTTTTGTTGTGATAGTTTGTGTTTTTATCTTATATTAAAGGTTTTACATATGTTCTCTAGAGCTGTTTTTTGAGAGTCCCAAATGTTAAATGTGTTATCTAAAAATATATAATGTTTCCTAACGTTGCCTATCTTTTTTTGACAATCATTCCTAACATACTTAGCAACTCTCAAATGAATTTGTAAATTATTAACTAGACTAAAACTAGTTTCTGATGTTTTATTTCTAGATTATATCTTTGTTGATATCAAGATGCTCATCTTAAAAATAAGTGTTTGGTAGAACAGGCACTTTGTAGTAGGTATGAGAAAGGATGTGATACTGGAACAAAGTACAAAATACAAGTTAAATAAGATTGAACTTTGTATTGCTCTCATATATCATTCTGGCTATTCTAACTTATTAAAGCAACTGTTCATAAGATCATCCAAGAGCAGTTTCTTCATGGTTGTCATTCCACCATCCACCAAGGCATTTCTCACCCTTACCATCTAGAGTTTCTAGGGTGGAACATTGACAAATCTCACCTTGCTAAAGGCAAAATATGAGAAAACTGCTTTAAATTACAGAGGACAGAGTCTAATATCTGGCAAATGCCTATAATCCCAGCTATTTTGTAATCCCAGCTACGTGGCAAGCTCAGGCAGAAGGATCACATGAACCCAGGAATTTGAGGTCATCTGGGAAATGTACTGAGACCCTGTCTGAAAACAACAATACAAGTGTCCTGTGAAAAAGCCATTAACTACTCTGCATGCTGCTTTCAGTATTTTATGTCTGCTAATTGTAGATGAAATGATCATTTCTCAGGATGTTCAAGTTCTGCTTATTAGTTCGAAGCTTGATACTATCACAGGAAGTATCTGTGCTAACTATCTGCTAACTAGTAAACAAGCCATCTGCTCTTAGATTAAATATGATAATGTTATGATTGGAGATTTTATTTTTTCTTTTGTAGTATTGGGGATCAAAACCAGGGCCATGCACTCTACCACTGAGTCTTACCTCCAACCCTGAATTGGGAGTTTTAAATAAATGTGTTTATGGATCATATTCTATGATCTTTTATTTGTGTACATATATATATCCCTATAGATAATTTAACTGTACAGAGTAATTGGAGCATGTTAATCTCTTTGTTCTGGTTTATCTTGAATTTTGATGGTAGATTGCTTCTTTTTTTTCCTTTTAAGTGCTTTCTAATTTTTTCTCGTTAAATTCTTTCAATAACAAATAATTTTTTAAAATATTTTTTTTAGTTGTAGTTGGACACAGTGCCTTTATTTATTGTTATGTGGTGCTGAGGATCGAACCCAGTGCCTCGCACATGCTAGGCGAGCGCTCTACCCCTGAGCCACAACCCCAGCCCCACAAATAATTTATCTTCCAGTTTCATCCCCTTTTATTTTTCAAACTTGAGAAGCCTGAATTTTGGACAAATTGTATATACTTATGCGTTTCAATAATTTATGAAGGCAGATCTTGTTCCAGGTTCTTTGGTGAATTTTTATCCTTTCTCTTATTTTCTATGAAGAATTCCTTCATTCATCAATATGTAATTATTAAGCTCCTAGTTGAGTTTCAGGTGTTTTGGGAACTTGGAGTACAGCAGTAAACAAGACACTATCCTAGGCTGAGTTTATATTTTGGTTTCAGTGATTGTTTATTGCTTGGTAATTAATTTTATAAAGCTAAAAAGACTGTGATTTTACAAAATACTTATGAGGCATTCTAATAAAAATAAGAATACTTGTTTTCATTCCCACTCATGTAAATAAGATAGTAGTATATTGAAAAATGACAAATATGTAAGCCATGGTTTCTATTATTTTATATCTCTTTTGTTTTTCTTATATATATATATAGTTTTAATTAAAAATTATATTCTATGTCTCTAATTTCTCTTTTCCAGAAACTGGCAGACCTTTCTCTTCGGATCCAACAAATTGAAACAACTCTCAACATTTTAGATGCAAAGGTTTGTATTTATGAATAATTTATAATATAAATTTTGCTGTACATAAACCAGTTTTCTCAGTCATACTTTAATTGCATTTGGGAGTGAATTCAATTTAATTTCTACATCTGTGAAGTGGTGCAGTGTTTTGCTTTTTTAAAAATTTATTATAATTTCAAGGAAATGTTGTTCATTATTCATTATGAACTATTAACTGAGTCTTTTCAAATGTACACGTGGATTGAGATCTCTTTCATTATACTAGCCAAAAGCATAATGAAAATATAATGTTAACAAATTGAGCTGTTTTGTAGTTCATTTCATTTGATGGAAAATTCAAAATTATTTTAATAGTTATCATTTAATAATAGTACAATAACAGTTATATAAAACTTTAGATGTCTCCAGAGCAAAGTTTACAGACAATATCAACTGTTTTCCATTTACAAATATCTTAAATGCTAATAAAGAGTAACAATTTGATGTCAGAAATTGCAAGAGTTATCTGGGGAAAATAGAAACTGTTTTGATTGAAAGTTTTAAGATTTAGATCATCAACAGTGGCATATGTTGTTATAATTTGGTTTCATTTGTAACATATGTACATGTTTTTCCAGTTTATAAAGAAAACACTGGTATATTTTTGTGACTTTATTCTTTTTAAAAAATATCCTATAAAAATGTGCAATTTTTATGTTTTTATGATTAGTTAAAATTAATTTAAATCTTATAAAATTGATCTAAAATATTTATTAAATATATCTGAGAAAGAAGAAATAATGACGTATGTAGAATAAGGATCAGACTATCTAGTTTGCACTTTCTACATCTTCTATGAACTTCAGCAACTATGTTTCTTTTAGAATATTTCTCTGGGTTAGAAATTTAGGCTACTTGGTCCTGAACATGCTTGGGATATTCTTCTAAAGCCATACTCACTTGAAACTATTTTGGCTGTAGCAACCATACTAAGTACTGCCTTCACTCAACAGTTCTCAATGAGTATTGCTGCTTGAGATCTTATTACCATTTTTATTTCCATTATTTTTTATTATGACTATGTATCTTGTTTATTGGGATATTCCCAGAAATTTGGAGTCCAAGGTCACAAGTTATGTTACGATCTAGGCAAATTAACCTTATTTATTTCCATGGCCACAGAATTAATACCCAAAGTTACTTATACATCTGCCAAATATGAATCATTGATTACCAGTATAAAATCAGAAAAGGGTTTACCTAGATTTTGCAAATCTGACCTAAAGTGCTTAACTATTTCTGGTTGAAATGCTTAACCGTTCTAGGTTGCAATGCTATTGTGCTTTTTAAAACATTTGTTATAATTGCAAGAAAATGGTATTCATTATGAGCCATTAATGAATGGTTAATCATACCCATGTTTTGTGTATCAGAAACAATGCATTTTAGTAACATTTAAAGAATTTTTTTTTTTTTTTTTAGTGATAGTGTATTGTTGTATTTTTTGCCCAGGCTGACCTTGAATTTCTGGGATAAAGGGGTCCTCCTGCCTTAGCCTCCCAAGTAGCTGCAACTACAGGCATGCACCACTGTGCTTGACATTAAAGAAGTGTTTAAAGAAAGGAAAACTCGTTTTTTCATACATTAAGATGTAAATGAGTTTTTCATATCCCAGATAAATAAAGCTTAAATTGTACTACAGAACACCTTTTTAAAACATATATTTAAAATAAAAATAATTTTACAACTTTGTAAATTTTCTTTGAAAAAAATTTTTTAGTTGTAGATGGACATGATACCTATTTTATTTATTTATTTATTTATTTATTTATTTATTTATTTATTTATTTATTTATTTATGTTGCTTAGGATCAAACCCAGTAAGTACCTCATGCATTCAAGGCGAGTACTATTCCATTTAGCTACAACCCCAGCCCCTGTGAATACTTTTATTCCCAATTTATAGGTAAGAAAAATTGAGGCACCCAGCTTGGGAGTGGTAGATCTAGGACTTAAATTTAGACAGTCTGACTCCAAAACCCATGTTCTCAGTCCTTATACCAGGAATATCTACACCTTAAAATAATTTCTGAGAAAAAAATGGTTATAAGCAAAATTACATTTGGGAAATTCTTCAAAAGTACTGTATTTTTGAATGTCTTTCACAATAGTTCATGACCTGGAAAATTAGAGTTGAGATTTTATGAGCTCATAAAACTTACATAAGCCTAAAACTAAAACAACTCTCAGTAAAACACACCTGAAAATTTAGTGTTTATTTATACACCTAAGAATATTCTTATGTACCAACACTAATTTGCTTTTCAAAGTTGTCATCTATCCCAGGCCTAGATGATGTCACATTTGTGTCCAGTGTGTCCAGTGTCACAAATGGATCACAATCTGAAACTACTTCAGAGTTGTCACAGGTAAGTATTTAAATGGCAAGAAGTATGAGCAAATCTTCTTGGTTGAACCTGATAGGCCTAGGTAGCAGGTTGAAAGAGAAAAGTTAAATTAAAATGTTAAACTTTTAATAGTAAGATTATAAAATAGAAAATGAAATTTGAGGAGGAAAAAAGTAAGCTGTTATTTTTTTTGTTTTTTCTTTTTAACATAGGATACTTTTTTATTCTATTAGGTTAGGATATCTTCTTTTTTATTTTTAAATTATAATTATTAACACATGTTAATTGTACAAATTAATGAGTTTACTGTGTTTTGTTATTTTGAGGGACTTCCAAGTTAATATTTTCTTTGCCTGTAAAAAAAGAAAATCAGTCAATACAGGACTAGGAAGAATCTTGAATATAATTTTTTTTTCAAATTCAGCATGGAAATGTTCCTGAGTTCTTTTAAGAAATGCACTTTTAAGTGTTTTATAAATTATAAAAATTTTAAACAGAAATGGAATAATACAATGAATACTCAAATGCTCATTTCCTAAATTCACCAGTTAAGATTTTATCACAATTGCTTTATTTTTTTTTGTTATTTGCTGAAATGAATCCCACACATCATGTCCCTTTACCCCTCTATGATTCCTTGACCATCTCTGAAAAATTTTACTTTTTTTTTTTTTTTTTTGGTACCAGTGGCACTTAACCACTGAGCCACATTCTGAGTTACTTTTTTTTTTTTTTAATATATTTTATTTTTGATTCAGGGCCTCACTTAGTTACTTAGGGCCTAACTAAATAGCTAAAGCTGGCTTTGAACTCATAATTTTCAGCCTCGCCTGGGATTACAGGCATGCACCACTATGCCCAGCAAATTTTGACAAAATTTTCTTTACATAACATTTTACTTAATTCCTCTGTTCTACTTTATCATACAAAATACAATTAACAATAATTCCTGGCATTCATTCTTCTGCCACCTAACTAATGAATCAATCTACTTTTTTCATTTGTTTGTTTGTTCTGGGGATTGCACCCAGGAGCACTTAACCACTGAGCTATATGCCCAGTCTATTTTTTTGTTTTTTTGAGACAGGATCTTGCTAAGTTACTGAGGCTGGCCTCAAATTTCCCAACCTCCTGCCTCAGCCTTCTAGGTTGCTGAGATTACAGATGTGAGCCACTATCCCCTGTTATCTCCTGTCAAAACCTTACTTTTTAACAAGACTCTTAGGTGATTGGTAGCTCTTAAATTTTGAGAGGTACTTTTCACAGGGTATTGTTTAGATCATGACGGTGTTGATAATAATGTTAATAGCTAATAAAGGGTGCTCATTGTATATCCAAGCATGCTTAAGTGCGTTTCAAAATTAACTCAGGCCTCACAAGAGACCTATAAAATATAAATACAATCAATCCTGTGTACTCATGGGTTTTGTATCTAACTACAGACTGAAAGTATTTTAAATATTACATCTATACTGAACATGTATGGAGTTTTTTCTTATCATTATTCCCTCAACATCTCAATAATTATTTACATGACATTTACATTGTATTAGATATTATAATTAATGTTAAAGTATACTGGAGTGTGTATATACATTATAGGCAAATGCTGGGTCATTTTATATAAGGGACTGGAACATTCGTGTATTTTATTATCATCAGTCATCCTGGGACCAGTTTCTCACAAATACTGAAGGACAGTCCTACTTTACAGGATTACACAAAGTTTGAGTACTTAGGGCAAATGATAATGTAAGAGCTAGAATTTTTACTCAGGAAGTCTGGTGCTAAGAGTCCTAGCTCTTACCTGCTACACTGTACTATAACTAGTACTGTGTTTAATCCATTGAACACATTAATGTGTGCTACAAGGCCTTGTGAGATGAGCCATTATATTTAGATAGGCTGTGTGCTAGGGAAATGGATTAGATGATCATTTACTTAACAATTAGATATTAGAAAATTTAGCCTTCATTTAATTAATATAATAAGTTTCATTATATGTGCTGAAATATAAATATAACATTTAAGAGGAGATCCAACTATTGTACAGAAGTTTAACTTTGTAAGTTTTCTCAATTAAATGTAGGCACTTTTTTTCCTAAAGGAAGGCATCTATAAAGAATATGAAGAAAGTATTTCCAATTTACCCAATAGTCACTCTTTGGTGGTTAGAGTTGTTATATGTTTATTTGATGTTTTTAAATGGTATCTGTCTATCTTTGAATGTTAATTTTCCAGGTGCTATTATGAATGCAATCTGTAATATGTATTTCAGAACTTTTATACAGTTGTGTGTTGGTCCTTGCCTATTTAAAAAAATTTTTTTAGTTGTTGATAGAACTTTATTTTTATTTATTTATATGTGGTGCTGAGAATCAAACCCAGTGCCTCACACATGCTAGGCAAGCAGTCTACCACTAAGCTGCCGGTCCTTGCCTATTTAAGGTTCTAAATCATTACCAACAATCACAGCTGCATTTCAGTAATCACCTGTTATCTCTCTCACAATTTTATTCTAAAATCGTATAATAATTATTTTAGAGGATTTACAAACTTCTGTTGGCTTCCTGGATTTAAAAAATTATGAAGTTTTGTGTTCAGCACACTTTTCTCCTATACTAAGGATGAACCCAGGGCCTCCCACATGGCAAGTTCTCTACCACTAAGCTACATCCCCAACCCATTTTAAATTTTACTTTGAGGCAAGGTTTGACTAAGTTTCCCAGGCTGGCCTTGAACTTGTGATCCTCCCAAGTTGTTGGGGTTACAGGCATGTGCCACTGCACCTGACTATTCAGCATGTTTTTAATATTAAAATCAACTTCTTTTTTCTTCTTCATTGTTATTAATTGATATATTTTATGTGAAATATTTTGAAATGGTCTTAAATTTTGCTTTATATACTTTCCATTGATATTATAATCAACTCAGTTATCAGATAAAGGATAATTATGTACTTAAAAATCATCCGTTTATCACCATCTATAATCTATATATGAGTCAAAGACCCAAGGAGTGGATTATGATTTTTCTTCAACTTTAATTTCATGGTTCAGCTCTTATTGTTCACAATAGACATCAGTTATACAGATTGGAGTTAATTTAAGAATAAAATGAAGGATAGTTGAGAGACAGGATAGAGGACTTAATAAGTCATTCATGTAGCAAATGTGTAAGACATTACTTAATTAAACCTTGTTGAGGCCTTGATTATTGAGCAAAAGTTAACAACTGAGAGTTGAAAACTGGCTGAAATGTACTTCTCCTTTGCTCCATTCTACTGTTATGAGAGTTTGTTTTCCATAAAATTTAAAAAAACCTTGAATCTTATTTTTAATTTTTTTATTCAATTAACAGCATTTTGGATTTTTTGTATTTAATTGTATTACAAATGAATACATATATGTATACCCACACTCACTTTTGTAATGTTCTAAATATATTTTAAATATAAGGGAGAAACCTAAAGGATGTTTGGATTTTTTATTTGCTTCAGAGTTCTTGACAGGTTCAGTTTATATTTGAAATATCTGTGGAAAACCTTAAGACATTCAAATTTTTAAGATTATGAAAATTTATAAATATTGATTTATCTACATTTTACTATATTTATAGAGACTTAAAAATGATTTCATTTGTTAAAGAAATTCCTCCCAACACTTATATTCTGATACTCAGTGAGAGTCACAAAAGTAACTTACTTTAAGTGTTCAGTTTGAAAGAAAAAATCAAGTACAGTAAACAGGTAGTCAGCCCTGTGCTTAGAGATGATGAGGGTCTGCTGTGGTCAAGCTTCAGTTAACATAATATCCTGTGAAGTGAGCACGGCCTGTAGGACAAAAGCATCCTTGTATAAAGGACCATTCCCCAGTATTTCTCATTGTAAAAAGTATTTAATCTTATCCATTCTGTGGACATTGTTACCATTGATAATAGTATTTCCATCTATAACCGAAATATACAAAACCAAATAATTTTGTCTGAGAAGCTGAGTTTTCTCCCACAAAATCTCTAAGCATTGCTTTCTAAAAAATTTAGAAGTCACGTACCCTCAGAATAAGAAAATTTAATAAATGAGGAGTTTCAATAGTACAGATCATAGCTACCTAGGAAATTAATTCACTGTTAGAGTTGAACAATTGAGAGATCAAATAGTTTTACTAGCTTCATCTAAAGTATAATATATCCACCTATAATTCATGTTTTATGTCAACACCCTGGGGACAAGTAAATGAGGATTAAAATTTTTTAAATGCCATGAATATACTTTTTAATTTTAAGGAATACTGTATTGTTGATATTAAATGTAGCTTCCTCTGAAGTCATATTTAAGTGTTTATACATATTTAGAAATATATCCCATAATTAAATTATTGGTATTTAAATTTAGGAATATTCTTTCTAATATTTATTGCCTTATAATTATAAAAAGAAACATCCCTTTTAAGTAACATGATAGACCCCTTTTGTGAATTGTCTAAAGATTTACACAAAATACTCTCTACAGCAGAACAGTACACAAGACTCTGGACCACAGGAAAGTGAAGTATCATCAGAAAATATCTTAACTGTAGCCAAGGATCCAAGATATGCCAGATATCTCAAAATGGTTCAAGTGGTAAGCTAATTTGGTCTGTCTTCTCTGTCTAGCAGCCTCATTATAAATTCTTAACCCTGGAGGTTTCATTGTTATTTTTTCAATCTGAGCAAACTGCTAAACTGAGTGACCAAATTTTTTAGTCTCTCAGTTCTATCCTATTTTAATTAATACCCTAAAAAAAAGTAACGAGAAATCAAATCTTTCTCATTGAAACTGATTACACTACAAATTAACATAGTTTAAATATAAACTTATGTAATTAGTTCTGCTTTACACAGTTTCACTGCAAAATTGGATGTATTAGAAAGAAAAGGAAGTAGACTATTCATTTGGTAAATCTTATGACTAGCTTAATTTATGCTAGCATAAATAATTTTTTAAATGTATTTTATTCTGATGTTTATCTATCAATGATTTGGTTTATAGGAAAGGCTTTTAGCCATGTAAGGTAATGTTTTTATATATGACTTCAGAATTCTTATATATATTTTTAAGAGAAAATAACATGGTATGATAGAAAAAATATTTGCAATTGTCTATAGTAGCCGAAGTTAATTTTTTTTATGCCTGTAGAAAAGTCCTACTGCCACTGGTTGAAAGAATGCCATTTTTCTGTTAAGTATAAAAATTAATGCTTTTATAACATTCTGTTATCAAGCAAAAGAAGTACTAATACCAAAGGCTAAATACAGATTTGTTAAGCAATCCATGGCATTATTTATCACCAAAATAAAAGCAAATATATCTCTTAACCAGAAAGAATATATTGGCTAATTTAGAAACCAAAATGAGGGTAAAGAAAGTACATTTACTTTGTGTAGTGGAAGAAGTAGATTTGTCGCTTTTAGAATTTTCATTGACAGTCAATAGCCTGGGCTCTAGATTTCAGAACAAAATAGATTTGGGGATGAAAATATACATAGTTCTTTACTTAGTAAGAATAAAGCAGAGTCAGTTTGATTATGAATAATGAATACATTTTTAAAGCTAGAACCCAAGAAAACCTAAGCTTAAAAGATAGACTGTTAAAAACTGTGTGGCTCTCAAACAAAAGAGAAAAAGTTTCAAAAAGTAACTCACAAAACATAGAGTAATCAGTCTAAAACGGGAAATGGAAATATCTATTTGGTATCTACAAGAATGACCAGAAATCTTTTGAGAAAGGCTGTGTTTTCTGTTATACAGAAGGTTCCCACTTCTCTACAGTTTCACTTTCCAGTTTCAGTTAACCATAGTCAACCTCCATATGAAAATATTAGAAATACTTTATAAGTTTTCAATCTCATGCCTTTCTGATGCCATCCCACCTTGAGTGTGAATCATCCCTTTGCTCAGCTGTATGTACTATCTGCATGTTGGTGAATTTGTGGGTGTCTTGGTTATCAGATCAGTTTGTTGCAGTATTGCAGTGCTTATATACAATGCATCCACCGGGGGTCTCATAGACCCACAGATAAGGGTGGATTATCACTATTCATTTATTCTACAGATATTTGTCAAATACTTACTTGAAGTTACTATGTTAGGTATTGTGTAGACCTACTTAGTTAAGATTCTCAGACCCACTTGCAGTTTTTACTTTTGTTATTTATTAAATAAGTTCTGTTGCTTTCCAGTGTGTGTGTGTGTGTGTGTGTGTGTGTGTGTGTGTGTGTTTATAAGATGACCCTTTATACACTCATTTTTTCTACTGGAGATGATGTGGAGAAAAAGGAACACTTTTTCACTGTTTGATGGGATTTTAAATTAGAGCAACCACTATGGAAATTGGTATGGAGGTTCCTTAAAAAACTATGCATGAACCACCACATGACCCATCTATACCATTCCTTGGTATTTATCCTAAAAAATTAAAGTCACATACTGTAATGATACATATGCATATCCATGTTTATAATAGCACAGTTCACAATACCCAAATTAATGGAACTAGCCTAGATGTCCATCAATAGAGGGATAAATAGAAAAAATGTGGTAAATATGCACAGTGTAATTTTATTCATCCATAAAGAAGAATGAAATTGTCATTTGCAGGGAAATGGATGAAACTTGAAACCATTATGTTAAGTGAAATAAGCCAGACTCAGAAGGTCAAGGGTCATATGTTTTCTCTCAAGTGGAAGCTTAGGAAAAAGGAAAAGAAAAGTGGGAATGGGTGGGGAATCTCATGAAAATCAAAGGGAGATCAATAGAGGAAAGTGTCCAAGAGGTGGAGAAGAGGTAGGAAAGAAGTGCTGGGGAGTGATAATTGGTCACATTTATATTGTTATGTTGTGTACATATGAGTATATAGCAACAAATTCCATCATTATGTCCAACTATAATGCACCAATCAAAATGTGTAAAGAAAAAAATGTGTATCAACCAAAAAGTAAAAACTCATTTTTCTAATCATATGGCTTATCATTCCACTAGGAATAAAATCCAAAGTCTTTTACAGGCCTAGGAGATAGGTTTTCCTACCATTTAGCTACCCTTTACCTTACTTGTTAAATTTTTAAAATTCTTTTTAGATATACATAACTTTAGAGAGTATATTTTGACATATTATAACTATGTGGAATACAACTTCCCATTCTTATGGTTGTATGCAATGTGGAGTTATACTGGTCATGTATTCATATGTGAACATAGGAAAATTACGACTGATTTATTCTACTGTCTTTCTTATTTCCATCCCTCTTCCCTTCCCTTCATTCCCCTTTGTCTAATCCAAAGAACTTCTATTCTTCACCCCTCCCCCCTTATTGTGTGTTGGCATCTACATATCAGAGAAAACATTCGGCCTTTGGTTTGGGGGGATTGTATTATTTCACTTAGTATCATATTCTCCAGTTTTATCCATTTACCAACAAATGCCATAATTTCATTTTTATGGTTGAATAATATTCCATACCCTTTACCTTTCTGATTCGTATCCTCACTCTGTTCTAGCCTTCCTGGCCTCCTTAATGTTCCTTGAATAAATAAATGGGCATTCTCCTATCTGGGTGCCTTTGTATCAGCTGTTTTCTCTGCTGGAAACACTTTTCCCCAAATATCATCATTATTTGCCCTTCCTTCAATTCTTTATTCAAATATTATCTTCTAAGTGAGGTCTTAGTTGGCCATCATACTTCAAATTACACTGTCTTCTGGTCCTGTTCCCTTTATACCTTCCCTGATATGCTTTTCAGAATGAGAAACTTCTAAAATGCGTGTTCCTGGGCTCTGCTCTTAGATTTTCTGGAGTTGTAACATGGATCTAGACCATATGCAAAAGAAAAAGATCATCTGAGTAAAACATGCTTAAAAATATTTTAAACTGTATAAATACCATTAGATTTTTTATTTAAAAACATTTAAGAAAATTTTAGTTTTATTAAAAACAAACTCTCTAGTGGTACTTGAAAACTCTGTCCTTTTGGCTAGTATTCTTGAGTCTGAGTGGGGATTCAATTTTATCTGCCTTAGACTTTTCCTGTTTTTAGCCAGATTTTCCTATTTTAATCTCTTTGCCTCCCTCCAGCCTTTGGTCAGGGTATTTTTATACCCTAAACATTTCCAGGGTTCTGGAGTTACTACTTCCTCACGGTGTCTCCCTGTCACGTGGACTCAGCCTTCATCTGCTATGCCAGGTCATCATTCTTCTGTCTGCTTTTACTTTTTATACATTTGGTTCATATATACCTCTTAATCATTCAAGTTGGAGGTTGTGTTCTATTTCTAAGTGTTTGGGGCTGATTATCAAGGAGAATGGGGGAAGCAGTATCTTTACACTGCCATCCTAAAACTGGAAGTTCATCCAAGTTAAATTTAATTTTATTGTTTTTAGTTTATTGTGCCAACCTGTATCCCAGAATCTTATTACCCAACTTTTTATTTCCTAGTGCTCCCTGTCCTGAATTCCATTGTTCAATCAGACTTTTAAAACCACAAATCTTTCCCCATGTAAGCAACTCTATGCTTTTCCATCTCTGAATCTAGTTTTCCTTTCTCTTGATTATTACATGTCCACATTTTACTCATCTAACATGTTATGATGAATGCTTCTATGAAATCATCCCAGATTCGGAACCCACCCACATAAAGAGAACCATATTGACCTGTCCAACCACTGGTTCTATATTCATTAAGGTATTTGTTACTTTAGTTTTTTTTCTATAATTATTTTTGCATATTTTAATCTCCCCAGTCAAAATAAGAACCCTAAGAGGAAGAACACTGTCTAGATTAATCTTTTTTAGCCAGAAAGGTATTCCATAAGTATGTTTCAGTGGATTATGTAGTCTTACATACCAAGTCTCCTTCCAGGCTTTGTGTCACCTGAAAGAGTATAAATATATTTTTTCTTCAAGTTATTGATTTTAAATGTTTTATAGGACCAAACCAAGAATAGATCAAGTAGATATCTCCCTTAAAGTTAACATGAATCTGCTAATCATTATTCTTTGGGTTATGATTATTAAGCAACATATAAATACATTGTTTCTCCTGTTTCTTAAGTGTATCATGAGTGACTTGTCAAAACCCAAACTGGAAAAACAGATGACAGTACCACTTGCTTTAACCTCACAGAAGTGGAGTCTAATTAGAGACTCATGATGCTGGGCGAGGTGGTGCATGCCTATAATTGTAGGAGCTCTAGAGGCTGAAGCAGGAGGATCACAAGTTCAAAATCAACCTCAGCAATTTATCAAGGCCCTAAGCAACCCTGTCTCTAAATTAAAAAACAAAACAAAAAAAAGACATGAAAAGGACTGGAGATGTGGCTCAGTGGTTTCCCCCCTGGGTTCAATCCCTGGCATCAAAAAGAGAGAGAGAGAGAGACACCCATTATAATCCATACCATTGACTCATTCCATGTTTCCCCATTCACATAGAAGAATCTAAATAGTCTTTTGTGTCTATACTCCAGGGTGGTGGTATACCTTCTAACCATTTGTTTTTAATGCCAAGTTGGTTCAAGTTCTTGAATGTGATGAAGAACAAACAGTAATCAGAGAGTTATAAAGATAAACAAATTTGACTGCTGGCCC